CTTTACAAGAACTCGATTCGCAAGGCAAAGGGTGCGAGGTATTCCGTTCGCCCGCGTCTGGTATTCAGCTATGCAGCGCGGCGGATAACCAGGCTTTTCGAAGGAAACCCACGGCGGATTGTATTCCGTATACACACCCTGATTGAAATCGATAGTCCCGGCAAGGTCGGCGCGCAACAAAACCAGCGGAACAATTCATCGGCCTGGTATAGCAAAACTGCCCGCGATTTAATATGGCTCTTTCTTCTCTCTGTCGACCCACTCTGCTGTTTCACTCTTGTCGCGTCGCATGAAATTAGCGAAAATTACGAGCGAATGTAGATTTGAATCTTTCAGTTTCGATACGGGTTCGAAACTGATTTCGCGTTCCACAAGACCGTCGAAATTTAAATCACATTGAACAGGATTTAGTACCCTGAACTGCTGGAACTATCCAAGACTAAAGTAAATAAGTTTTTCGTCTGTAAAGGACTGAAGAAAAAGTTAATGATAGAATAAAGAACATAAAGCTCCTATTAATATATATTAATTGAAAATCACTCGAGTATGTAAAAGATATATACAAAATTTTCTTGTAATGTGAGAAAAGTTCTGCGACCCATGTTTCAAATGGAACTTATCTAAAAATTCCTTAACTTTCTCGATCCCTGATCTCTACATGTTGTAAGGTATAACAATTAAATAAATATGATATCGATTTCGATTCTTGTTACGAGTTGAGAATTTATTATTGAATAATTGTTGTGAAATTTCAGAGTTATTAGATTCCTGTACATCGATTCGCTTATCAATGGAGTTTCGAAAGTATTGGAAGTCTTGGAAATCTTGGAAATCTTGGAAATCTTGAAGATCTTTGCTATTTTAACAAGTCTCGTGATATAGTCAACATTTTACAAGTAATTTGAATACTTTGATCCAAACATTGCATCATCGACGTGAAATGTTAGAGAAAATTGTAAATGCATTTGCATTTCCTGTGTATATTATCCAGTTGATTGCTTTGCATAAACACTTTTGACAAGACTTATCAAATATCCCGAACCTTCGAAAACTTTCAAGACTTCCAATATTTCTAAAACTGTTAAAACTACCAAGATTTTCAACAGTTTCCAAGTATTGAATTCTGTTCGAAGTGACTCAAATTTTTCGTCGTATTTGCGCTACCGTGCATACAAAAATAATTCAAATTAATTAACATATATATCGGTAAAAAAAAAAAACAACAACTAATGATTATGTGGCTGTTGATTCTGCAGACTTTAAGCACGTCTGTCCATTACAATCGAAATATGTTTGTTACCACATTGAAGATACAATTTTTACAAAACATTAGTCATTTGTTACAAATTAATACAGTGATTCTCATTCACAATACAGTGGCAACATTCAAACAATATTCGAACAATCTGAATAATATTCAGAGTTCAATAAAATGACAAAGAAACAAAAAATTGTACATCGAGGTCGTTGTAAAGAGCAAGTTTCAATCTTCAAACACATGCTGGATTCAGTCACGAAACAAATTTTTCAATGTTTCTACTATGGCAACATGTAGTATCTTCGAGAAGAAAAGTTTCTAGTGACCTTAGAATAAAACGAACGAGACATTGTGAAAGTAGAGGCTTCAAAATAAGCGCAAATTATAATTATAATTAATTAAATTATTGTTCTATAATTGTACATGTATGTACAACTGTAATTATAATTAATGTTGTATATTATAATTAATTAAATTATTGTACGATATCTTTTCACAAAATGATAACAGTTTCAATACCTAATTGTCCGAATTATCAACGACGAATTTAAAAAGAAATTAACAGTCGCAATCGTATCGGTAATGTATCGGTAAATATCGGGCTTTCAATAAAGTTGCATCAAGTGTCAGTTATTTATGTACAGTAGCACGCGTTGCAAAGTGATTGACGATTCATCCTTGTAAATGATGCGATCGATCCGCGAGGCTGGATCACACAGCTCGAAATAACAAAGACAAAGAGAAACGGGCAAGGATGGCCGCGTTAAGTGGAAAGAATAATTCGCGCCGGGCCTCGGGATTATCTGATACGTATCGCGAGACAGATAGCGCGAGAAACGCAATTTAGAAATGCAAATCTAAATTGGAAAATTATGCAAACGCGTAGGGGAAGAGGAGTCACGAAACTGTCGTGGACGTAAAACACGAACGGAACGTAACGGCGTGAATTAATCCGTCGATGGAAAGTGAAACTATCGTCGCGCGTGATCGCGAGTTTATTAGATTAGCCGGGAAAATTGTGAACATCGTGTCAGTAATAAGATACCTAGTTAGAGGTATCGCGTGCCAGCTTTAATAATTCAGCGAACAGAAACGCTTTCGATAACATCACTCGCCGGCAAGTGGTAACCGCTTGTCTAACCGAATAGGTGACGTCAACACCGGGGATTAAGCGGTAACTAATGCGAAAGATTAAAGAAGACGCATTAGGGGGGACGGAGGTGCCCCGAGACAGGAAATCGCCCGCTCCGTGGACGCGGTGCAGAGACGATCGAAAGTGGTTTTCGCAGGAGGGGGGGGGGGGGGAATTAGTGTATAATATTAGTCCCGATAAATGCCTGACAATAATTCATTAGCATGACCGCGGCGAAACGAAAGCGAAAACCTGTCGTTCCACTTTTTCTATCTCCTTCCTGCCGGAACTTTTCGTTTGAATTGCTCGTTCGGCGTATGGCAGGAGGATCCTCCTCACTGCGGAAGTGATTCTTTTCCAACAAGTGAGTCAACTCTTTTCTTCCGTCTCCTGCCTTTCCTCCTTTGGCTCTCTTTGGCTCTCTCGTTGCCGGCTCGGCGAGTCGCAGAAACCATGCAATGCCTCTTTAAGGTGGCAACAGTGTTGGCGGGAAAGTTATTCCACCGGCTGCCAGTAAATCATTCTTCGCGGACTCCTGCTTTATTATCCGCTGTCTCTCTCGGCCTCCCTCTTCCCCTCCGCCCACCGCGATGGAAATCCTCTCTCTTTCTCAGCTGGAATCTCTCTGTAATACCCGGCCATGGTAGGTAGGCATGCCTCGCCGGCGGTCGTTCGTCTCGTCGGAAAACCCGCGAAAACGATACGACTCGCGAAGCGGACTCGCCACGCTTAATTACGTCCGCGACTGTTTACTGTTAAAAATGGCGAAGGGAGCCGATTGGTAGCGACGGGAGTCTGGCCGAGTCGGGCTAACGTAACGAAGTAATCGATCATCGTGGACGCAATCGCAATCGGATCTCGCTGATTCCACGTTCTCGTCGTTCCACCGCCGGGACGATTTCACCGCGGGTGAAACACTCGCGGATCACCCGGCTAGATGGCCGGTGCGATATCTCGAACGCGAGAAGAAACTTTAAACTGTCATTAAAGCAGCTCCGGCTGGGTTAAAGGGTTCATTACCGTCCCCGAGGCACGCCGTCTCCCTGTTTCTTCTGCGTCGAGTCCTCCGACACGCGATTGGCACACACCGCGGCCACCGTCCTGAAAATTACGTTCCGCGTTGATAAATTTACGAGTTTTCTTTGCTCGTCTCGTCGCGCAAACGACGTCGCGATGCCAATTATCTGTCTGACGATCGACCCGACGTACGTACGTAATCGCTCACACGGTTCACTTCCGATACTTCGCGTCGTTGTGCAAAATTAAACGATGGTCTTTTTAACATATGTTTCGATCTATTTGATCTCCGCGCTCCGAGCAATGGCTTGTCCATTGAGAGAGAGTGATCTATGCGTGATCTAGGATAGGTCTGCGCTCGAATTGGGAGCCCTGTCGTAGAAACCACAGAATAATACTTGGCGTTCGAACTGCAAGCATTCTGTTTGCGTCTAGCGTTTCGTGTCGTTGAACAGACACAATGTCGTCGAAGTATTATCCCATATGACTGTAAATGTAGCTTTGCGCTCGACTTGCGAGAATTGGAAAGCGTTGATTTCGAAAGACGCGTTGACAGCGTTGCTGTTCGTTGAAAGATACACCGGCGTTACGAAATATCGCAACCCGTAATCCATTGAGGGTGAAAGATGGCGATACGTTCTCGCACAAGCAACGAGCGTCTTGGAAGCACACAGGCGCGTCTATCACCGCCTCCACGTGCGTTGTTACATGCAACAACGTCCACCGAAACTTCCTCGGTGAGGAAGAAGCGAACGGACCACTCGCGAATTAGTCACCGTGTTTATTATGATTGCAAATGGGCCATCCCCGTAACGGATTCACCGCGGATAATTCTTTTAATTCTTCTAATCTATAATTCTCTCCTCATATGAAAATTACATTGTCAATTGAAAATTATACATTTGCATGCGTGCATATTGAAAATTCTGTTTTATACATGTCGCTTTCGTATACATGCTGCCACATTGCGAAATTATTAAATGAATTATTCGCGACGATTACTAGTTCTCAGATGTTTTAATTAATGAATAATCTTTTTCCTTCTGTAAAGTTGTAGTCAACTTTAATCGAATATTTTCTATTGTTTTTTTCATGGATTTTTGAAATGCCATTGAAGTATTAATTTAGAGTTAAGATATTTATTTGAACGACTCTTGATATGTAAAAATAGTGAAAAGGAGGAGAAATAATTTAATAATTTAATGTACAATAAATTACTGATAAATGTTCTCTGTTCTGATAATATAACATGAAATTTTGAAGATAGCTACATTTTGCACAGAAACAGTGTTTCGGTGAAGTTTCCAAAAAATATTTGAAAATAAAAGCCGAACGATAGTGTCTCAAGATTGTCAGAAATATTGAGCCCTCCTTTTCTAGATAATTACCACAAAAATTGTCTGCTATATGTTACAAAAGACTCGCTGGTAAATAAATGGAATTAAATCCGCACAGTTACAAAATTTTTATCGACAGATAATTTGTCGACGCTCGCAACTGTATATACGTGTATGTAATTGATCACTGCGATGCAACTGTATATGCGTGTTTGTCGTGCGATTCGAGTAATTTGAATATGTCGATCGTTTACAGGTACAGGCGACGGATCCGGATTGCGGCGTGAACGCAATGGTAAATTACACGCTAGCCGCGGGAAGAATGGAAAGCGAACAGCTGATGGTACGCAGCGATACCGGAGACATTTGCGTCAGAACACCGTTGGACAGAGAAACAGCTCCCTATCTGGAGATTCCCGTCATCGCTACCGATAGAGGTACGTACAACTCGCCAGACTTCTCAGGATTACGTTTTGTATTTTAGCTTCATACTTGGAGATACATTTTACTTTATGTTTAGTATTATATCTCTTCCATACATTTCACGCATGGAAGTATCCTTCCATTCGTTTGTATCTTTTTACAAATTTCTTACCGATAAGGCATGGTGATTAATTAATTTTGTTTGTTTCAAAGTAGTTTGTTTTAAAATTAGCGCGTTAGCGGCGATGATCTTTTAAAAGCAAATAGCTGCTCAATTCTTTGTCGTTTACGACCGAACCAGTAAAAATTTGGGAAATCCCTAATTCACTTTATCTCCTGAAAAAAAAACTTGATAAAAGAACTGTATTTAACTGTAATCACATAATTTAGAGAAATATACGCAAAGGAAGAGAAAGTACGCAGAACGTTGTTGAAAAAATTGAATTGCATTGCAAACACATTTGTCATAATTAGTGTGATGGATTACAATTTGAGAGAAAAAGGCTATTAATTATTATAGGAATCTCAGTTGACGCGTGACGTTGCTCGAGCGTGACTAATCCAAGCTGCGATAGCATTGCGTCGCAATTGCGACTGAAAATCGAAATAGGCGTGTCAATATTCTGTGAAGTTGCTATGCAAAAATTGGCGTTGCATTGTAGGTATATTGATTCTATAGCAAGGAGCGTATGAACTAGAATAATTGCAGTCAGGACTTATAAAAAAAATTTAAAAATGCAACCAATGTATATAAAATATTTCAAATACAACGTTTCTTAGAATACTCAGTGTGTAAATTTTCCAAATCGTATATTAATGATGATTTCGATTATTGAACGTTCGTTTTGTGATCAAACCGAATAACGCAACTCACGGGTAAATTAAAGTTAAGTATATCCTTAGGGCATCGTCGAGACGTAAATTTTTGTTTGCAAGAGCATCAAACATGTCACTAATAAAGAAACAAAAGAAGAACTGAAAAGTAGCGAAGCACCACAGTAACGTTCGCCTGACTCGTCGATCGATTAACAGTGGCGTTTCGTAACGAATCTTCCGTGACCAGAATAGGAAGAACCGCGCGAACAATGCGTTTCCCCGTGGCCTTATCGCGGCCACGTGGTGGAGAGGTGCAACGCGGAGACGAGAGCGAAAGAAGAAACGGCAGCAGACGGAAACGGGAACGAAGAAGAAAGGGCAACCAGCGCGGCGACACGCGGTGGAAACGTGGCATCAGAAGGGAAAAGAAACAGCCACGGGAGCCGTGCACGCTGGTGAAACGGGGGGGAAGAGCGAGCCTATCGCCGTCCCAAGATCTAGCAGCTCTGTAATGGGGTGTATGATTTATGTCGCCGGTGTATGGTGTGCCCATTTTCAACAACCTCCTTCCAGCTTGCCCTTACGAGAGAGGACAATGACTGAAGTCCATTGATCCGTCGGGAGGTCGACATTGACCTTTCAACAGGTAGCAGATTCTTGGACGATTTGCGAGCAGCGGCGTTTAACCGCTTCCCTGGCAACTGATTGCGGACCGTAACGAATGACCGAATCAGTATACAATAATTCGTCGCTTTATCTTTGAGCACGTCGTTTGAGCGTGACGTCACTGGATAGAAATTAGATTGAGAAGTTTACAAATTTACTATTTGTTTTGCCTGGGTTGTACGTAGATATACTTGAAACTGAGAATATATTGCAACTTTGGGACAAAAAGTTCTCGACTTGCGTGGCACGTCATTGCACGTCGGTGAACGTGTGGCGGAAGCGGAGGATAAAGATAGGGGGCGAAAGAAGCAATGGATGGCGAAGGAGACATTGGAACTAAAGTCGAATTAGTAGGAAAATTAGTATGGAACAGAGAAAAGTAAAATAGAGATGTGAGTGCGCGAACTACGAGAAAGGGAAGAAAGTATAGATACGAAGAAGTAGTGGAAGCTACGAAGAGAGAGTTCTATTGTAACAGATTAACGTGAGGTTAAAGGATGTCGAATTAATTATATTAATAGGAAAGTTAGAGAGCAAAGAGGAGACGGAGTGAAAAGAAGAACACGGACACGAATCGTACGCGAAATAATAGAAGCAGAAGAGGTTCCTATCGTAATAAAGTAGCAGATGGCTGAATGTCGAACGAATAAGAAAATTAGAGAGCAAACAAAAGGAAGAACATGGACTGTGAGGACAAAAGGAATAGACCATTGTAATGGAGTGATAAAGAGCGAAACAATCGAGAAAAGTCGAGCCGAGAGGAAAATTGGAGAGCAATAAAAGAAAGGACATGGAATCGCGCGTAACCAAGGGAAAGAGATAAGAATAATAGAAGCAAAAGGGATTCCTATAGAGTAATAGAATAGTAGATGTCTGAAATAATAGGAAAAAGTCGAATTAATAATAAAATTAGAGAGAAAGCAAAGAAAAGGTGGAAGGTGGAAGAGAAGAAAGAACATAGATATGAATCGTGTGTGAATAAAGTGAGGAGGAAGGATAGATAGAAAGAGTGGGGGCAAAGGGGAGCTTATATCGCTAGCTGCATACAGTTTTGCAAACAAGAGAGATCTCGTCCATAATTGTCGCTCGTTATCGATACGATTGTTCGGCGTGCTACCAGACTCACCGACACCATCGCTGCAATAGTATCGCTCGGATATGACGGGAGAGGCCAAGCTTTGCCTGATTTATATCACCTGCTGACCGCGTATTCCACGCGATCGCGGGACGCGAAATCAACCCGCGAGAGCCTGATCGCACGTAGCAGCTCAAGTTGCGCAAGAGCTTGCTAATCGCGGTTGCTTTGAAATGATTTACGTATTAGGTGTGACGTTAAGAAAAGAAAAAAGAAAAAAAAAAAAATAAAGCGAGATTGACTAGTGGGAGAAGAAAGAAATAAACAACGTCTTTGATAGTATGTTCATCAACAGAAGATGTTTGATGAGTTTTTGTTTTACAATTAGTTGGAAATCTCAGTTTTAACTTGATCGCTTCGTTCGGTACAAGTAGATATACGTATTTTTAACCATCGAGTGCGACACTGTAGACTCAAAGAGGGCAGCATGATTCCCTTCTACCTACCAAATTGTAAAAATAAACAAACAAGATTTTCATAATCGCAACATTTTTACAATGATAATTCAAAAATCGCGTTTTCTGAGTTGAATCACTTTATTAGGGGTGTGCGAGAACCAGATGGTCGGGACGAATCGGGAAGAGCTCGAGTCGGGTCGGCTCGTACCGTTTCTCGAAATACTCTACAATACAACTGCTGTATAGCAGTCTACAAAATATGTAAATACACAGTTTAATTTCTTCTGTTAATGAAATTATTGGAAACACGGATTCTAAGAATCGTGTGACCTGATGTATACAAACGTGTGACTGCGTGCTCAGTACGTGAATATTATGTACGCCATTGATCAGTATCGCTGAGACATTCGGGACGTTCAGACGTATATTTCAAAATCTGTGTGAATTTAATAAAGATTAAAAATTTTTTAAAAAAATGTCGAGTGATAGTGAGAGTGAAGTTGTGGTAGCAGGAAGTAGTGCAGAAGATATCGTGCAAAGGAAGAAGGTAAAGAGAAGCTCTGTTTGGGAACATTTTCACGAAAAAGATGATACAAAGGCGGAATGCATACATTGTCACCATGAATTTAAAACTAAGTATGCAAATACTACTGGTTTATTACGCCATTTGAAGCATATGCATCCAAACATAAGTACATGTACTAGAAAAGTAACTGAATCGATATAAAATTTGTCGCATGTACAAAATGATACGTGAAAGATTGTTAAACCAAAAGATATGACAGGAGGAATTGCTTGAATGATGGTTCTAGATCTGCGACCTTTCGATACAGTTGAAGGCGTGGACTTTAACGAATTATTCAAGCTTGTTCCTTTCCCAAACTTTTTTGGGAATCCCGATTCTTTCGAGAATTTCGAAATTTTCGGGTACGAATATTTCGCATTTTCTACACTCTATGTATATTAAGAGCACAGATTCTTAATTCCTCAATACACGCGTACTTTAACAAAATTGTGATCCAAAATTGTGATCTCTGCGAAGTATGCGCCTGTGCATTGATTTGAAAGTAAATTACTTCGAAGACGATCGATAGCTGATTTCCTATATTCGTATAATAGAAGTTGCGAGCACAGTCCTGTTCTTATGCCGGATCTCGTATATACACGTCTGTAATCACTCGTTCGAGATCCATCGTGCCCCAAGAAGGTACAATCGTCGATAACTATCGTTGGAAATGGGAATGATAATCGAAACGCAGCGGATTGTTGCGTTAATGACGTCGGATAACGGCGGAGCTACACCGATAATTACCACTTGCGTAGTCCAGCTTTGAATCGTTCCAGAGATCCGCGAATAATGCCTGTGCGCGTACACTTTCTCGTGTATGCGAGTTACTTTGTTCGACCCTTTTGTAGGAGCATTCGACATCATCATGGCTAGATTAAGTGCACAGTACCTAATACCTATTAGGTACTTATTGGACAAATTTAAAAACCAACTCTACCACGAACGAGGTTCTATTGTAAAAAGCAGCAACCGCGCCGGCGCGTCAGGTATTTTTACGATTTTCCCAAAAGTCGTTCTTCTCCTCGTGACGTTCTTTTTTGTTTCTCTCTCTCTCCCTCTCTCGTTTGTTTAAAACGGGAGTCAGGATGCGTGCGATTCATCTCTGAACAATACGACGAACGACCGGATAACATCTTAAGATTCGGGTTCCATGCATCGCGATCTTGACGAAAGAGTTTGCCGGGCTCGATGTTATCTGACTTTCTGGAAATTGTGCATTACGTGGTGTACATGCGAAACGCGCGTTTGCGCATCTTGATGCACGTCCTACGATCAACACGGACAGAAATGCAAAGAGAGGCGAGGCCACGGTCGCAAAAACTCTCCCCGAAAGCCGGAACAACACCGCCGGTGACTTTATTGACACCGCCGTCATAAATCTTCGTCCCCTTAACTCCCACCGAAGATCCGTCGTCATCTTGGTTTCTCTGTTTCCGCGTTTCGCGTTATGACAGCTCGAACGATCTCGCGCTTTTTCCGCTTGCCCCAATAAGGTGCAAAGGGTTTCAAAAAAAGAAGAAAGAAGAAAAAAGAATCGATCCAAAAGCCATAGTCATAAAAAGTCAAACGAGTTGGGAGATTAAAAAACAATTCTAGCCTATTGGAAAATAATACCAAGGTTGGTTGTTGAGATGCAGTGATAGCGAGAGAAGTAATAAAGAGTGAAGAAATAATACCGACAATGAGTAGGATGTTATTATACACATAAAAATATAAATTTTAGTGGGGAAGCTTTTTAAAATTTACATTGATAATAATTGATAATTGGATTAATAATGTACGTTATCATCTGATGGAATTTAAATATACCATTCTATATGATAAAAGTAGGAACAGAATGTAGCTTGTATACGATAAAAGGGAATTTGAAGATTATTTTTTTTGTGTCGTTATATCGATGCCGAGGAATCTCCGACACTTTGAATTTGCATGTTCAATGTATAATTCGTACATTTAAATTCGAATCACTTCGAACACTATTGGAAGATCTTGATCCCCCTTAAATCCAAATATTGTGGGTCTCGATCGTCTTGGATATTTCCAGAATATTGAAAGTTGAGATAAGATTACATAATTATTCGGTATTTTTACAAGCTTTCCGATTACTTCAATTCATATAGTACTATCATATAAGATACAAGATACGAACGAAAGTTTAAACCTTCGAGTTGTGGACCAATGACATTCAAGACTTCGAAGCCGATGTTCAAGAGTTTTAACCTTCGAACAGATTCGAAGTGTTTCAAATCTCATCGTTGAATATACAGATGAATAACCAGTTATTCTTTCTCGTAGATAAAACAAGCAGCACGGCACTCAATCCTTACTTGATCCATGATGCAAATTCATCATGACGAAATCGTTTCGAACACATGTTTCTCGGACTATTTTTTTTTAAAGTAAAACTCTCTCACGTTTCATCTCAAACGACTCGAAAAAATGTAAAACCGTTCGTCTCGATCGTGTTCCTGTTTTCTTTTTACGTGTTCCGCTCCACCTCGCGCCGAAACCGACTGAATCTCTCACTTTTCGTTGCTGATCGTATAAGACGATTACGCGGATCGGCCGGGCGACTCGGTTGAGCACCGCTGGCCAAGCATCGGCCGCATAAATCTTGCGGAGGCTGCGTATCCTCCGCCGCACGAAAAGGACTCGTCGTCGGACGATCGACCGCGTGAAATTAAAAGGATCGGTCTGAGACGACGGAGAGACGACGAGGTATCGGAATACGCGTTAGAGTGTCGTTGACCTACGTCCAGGAAGCAGACTTTCCCCCTCACGACGCGCAGCCATTCGCTTCTGGATTCACTCGGTTTTATTCGATCGTTAATTTGATCGATCAGCGGGCTTCGGACGCGCGATGTTCGAATGCCGGAGGACCGTTCCGACCGGGTGGAAGGCGGAAAGAGCGAAACGCGAGACGAGAGGGAGAGGAGGGGGAGGGGGGAGGAGTCGGATAGAGAAATTAGGGGTGCATTTCTCTGCCGGCGAGGGAATTCGCGTGGCCCTGAAGATCGGCATCTCGATACCTCGAACTTGTGCAGAAGATGCCACGCGGTGCGGCTGAGAGAGAAAGAGAGAGAGAAAGAGAGAGTTCCTTTCGGTCTTCGGTTTCGAAGCGAAGGAGTGGAAAAGGACGGGAAAGAATGGAAAAGGATGGGAAGGAAGAGGCGGCGGCGAAGGAAGAGGGACGGACGCGAAGAGCACGAAGAACGAAGGGGGACCCGGGGCCCTTGACGCATGACTCCAATGACACTCGTACCTATAAATCTCGCCGCGCTCCGAGCTCCGCACGGCCGAGTCCATATATTACTATGAGTTACGGGTGTAAACCGTTTAAACATCGGATTACCCGTTTTACATACTGTCTTTAATATTAACACTTGCGCCGGGCTTCGCCTAAATCAGCCTGGCCGAACCAGCAGCCAGCGTTCGCGAGTTCGCGCCTCGTCCGCGCCGATTAATTAATTTTCTAGTCGCGTCGCGACTCAGCGTGGCAGCGTGGCAGCGTGGCACGGTCGTCGTAGTAGCGGCGAAGGCAAGAGAAGGATCGGCCGTACGCGATTAGGCTCCGACGAATAACGTGATTTACGGATTGCGATCGAGGGAGAGCGTTTATTAGTTATTACTTTCCGTCAGACCGTATATCACTCCCATACGGCGAGGAGGCGATACTTTAACGGGCGAGAGCGAATTATCAGAGCCGGCAACCGATTTTCTTCCCCCGTTTCTTTTTGATCTTGTTTCTCGACTACGGAACAACACAGAGCGAGACGCGGTTGCGGCTGCAAGACCCGGGCAGCGCGTAAACCCGGCACATTGATCGATCGGTTCTTTCGTATAATTGCTCGAAAAACAGAACAACCAGAGGTGGCGAAGAGCGTGGATAGTGCCGTTTGAGCACCCCGAGAAATTCCTTTCGTTTGAAATATTGTCGCGAACGCGTTGCCCTGCGCCGAGGGTAAGAACCCCCCGCCCCCCACGACACGCGTGCACGCACGTTTCTTCGAATAACGCGAGACGGAGTGAGAAGAGCAGAGGCTAACGCTGAGAGGGGAAAAGACAGGAAGAACGAAGATCGTCGGAGAAGTAAGCGAAACGGAAAAACGGATGGGATGAACTTCGAAGTACGCGAAGGAGGAAAAGAGAACACCGAACCGAAGAGAGAGAGAAAGAGAGATAGGAAGAAGAAGTAGGTAGGAAGAAAGAAGGTAGGAGGCTGATTGGCTCCAAAAAAAAAAAAAAGGCAATGGTACGGGGCGCTTGTGTGATTTATGTCGACCGGCTCCAAACGTCCACGTAGATTCGTTCTCTACGCCGGCTAATACCTCGACATTATTTGCCCCGATAAGAGGATTTCACAGGAGGCTGAAATAAACATAATCGCTGGGGCTCGTACCTCTGGTCTCCGCGCGTGACAAGTTCTATATACAGTGTCTCCCAACTTTTTTGCCCGTCGTCCTTTCTAGTTCGTGATATCTAGATATCGAGTACAAGTATTGTTTAACTGACGTGAGCAAGATGAGAGAAACTTGAAGAGAAATTACTCGAGATAATGAAATACTGTGTAAAGTACGCGAAGATAGGATCCATGAGTCCTATGAGTTTATAAAAAAAGAAAATGGTAACAGCAGAGAAAATAATAAAGAAAGAAAGATATTATATGTAAAAATATTTCTTACTACATCGCGTAACTGATCGAAAAATACTCTCAGACATGATGTAACCTTGACTTCCAAAAATTATACTATAATTACAACAACACTGGTGTAATAGTATATAGTGTAATTATACTATAATAGTATAATTATAGTTATATATACTAGTATAATTATAGTTATATATACTAGTATAATTATAATTATAGTTATATATACTAGTATATATTAGTATAGTTATAATTACTAATATAATTGTAGTTATATATACTAGTATAGTTATAATTACTTTTTACTAGTAATAGTATATACTTATAATTATACTAGTAATTATAATTACTTTTTACTAGTAATAGTATATACTTATAATTGTACTAGTAATAGTATATACTTATAATTATACTAGTAATAGTATATATATATATAACTATAATTATACTAGTAATTATAATAGTATAATTATATTATAATTACAACAACACTGTAATAGTATATAATACAACAGTAGTGTAATATTATAATATTAAGTTCTATTTCAAACCAAATGCGTGTTGTCTAACTTTGATTACTCGCACTGTTGCAGGTGGTCTCAGTACCGTAGCTATCGTACGTGTGCAAGTGACGGACGTCAACGACAATCGTCCGATCTTCGAGCCAAGAAAGTACAACGTCACTCTGAGGAGCGACAGTCCGATACAAGGGCCGATTCTGAGGCTGGTGGCCACGGACATGGACGCGGGACTTTTCGGTCAGGTCGCGTACCGCATCACCAGCGGGAACGAAGCTGGTGTTTTTCACATCGATCGGAACACCGGTGAACTTCAAGTCGGCAGGCCGAATTTGCTCCCGAGGTCGCCGCTGCATCAGTTGAACGTGACGGCGACGGACGCGGCTGGCCTGAAGAGCACGTTCGACGCTGAAGTCCGGATCAGCACGTCCTCGCCTGGCCACAGAATCGCCAGCTGTGAGAAACCACGCTACACCATCACCGTGAAGGAGACCGTCTCTCAGAACAGCATCGTCGGTGGCGTGAAAGACGGATCTTCGTCCTCCTCGTCGTCGGGTAAGTCGAATAACTCGTGGACTACTTGTCAACTACATACCTCGGATTGACTCGTTCTCCAATTTCACGCGAGGTGTTGTTCGTCCTGTTGTACGATCAATCGTTTCCTTTTTCTTTCTGCAACTGTATTCGAACTTGAGTCTGATTTTTCCTGAACGAAGAACTCCTCTGCAATTATTACTGAACACAGTACTCTCTTATGGTAATATAAGTAATAATTTAAGATAATATAAAATTAAATAATATTTATAATATAAATAATTAATATTTATAATATTTATAATATTAATATAAATAATATTTATAATATAATTAAATAATAGTTATAATATAAAAATTAAATAATAATAATTTGAAAATTATAATACAAGTAATTTTAGAAATGTGAATGTAAATAAATGTAAATCGGTGCTTCTTTCTTCTTCATTCCGCGAAGTCGTTCAATTAAAAACTTAACACCTTATCATACAGTCATAGCCAGTTGGTTGCATCAATTGAGAGAAATAATGTTTTGAAAAAATGAACAGGTGATACGAAACGATCTGAATTTGGAGTAGAATGATCAGATCAATTAGAATTTCGTAGATGTCACTCGTTACACAAATATTCATGCGACTGAATGCAAAGTCGACAAACCGATTTTGTCTATTGACCAATGTCATTATGCTTCGAGTGACTGTTTCACGGTCGCTCGATAACTGACTCTTCAATATTTACACGATCAACTATAGTTGAAGGCGGCCAAGGTTCGACTAAAAACAGACGGCTACGTTTAGTCGAGAACGATCACAGATCGCTTCAACAACTTGGTCGACACTGTGTTTGCACGGACGATCGAGAGTCAACTAACGGCTCGGTCGTCCGTCCGAAAATTATTTGCCTAATGCAAACGAGGCTTTAACAGTCGATCGTTCGTGTGAACCTTTGCGTGGTCCACCCGGCGAAAAACCATCGATTTCCAGCGACGAAGCTCGGCGCAAAGCGCGTCGCGTACAAGGCTTAATCGACGGGCGGTTTCAGAAGCGAGGTACATGCACACGGTGAATCGTTGCTCGGTGGCGAATGCATCGGAAACGTATTCCACGCGCGGCGTTACCGCGTTAGCATAGTCGCGTCACGAGAAAACGGCGGCGACGTAGCGAACGCCCACGTGTTGGTACGTACGTGCAAACACGGCGAGCCAAGCCGCATAAGAGCAGGTAGAACCCGTGCCGACTATCCCGTGTCCTTCCTTCTCCTGCCGACAACGCGTAAATCATACGGGAGAATCTATTGCGCGATAACTGCCTTCCCGACCGAATAAAACACCCCGTAGAATTTCGCGGTGTTTGTCGCGACGCGAGTAGACGAAAGACGATAGAGGAAGAGTGATGAACGGGGGAAGGTAGGGTCGATGGAAAGGCGGAAGGTTAGAGGAAGAGTGGAGGAGAAGAAGAGGACGCGAGTAGGGGGTAGTAAGGTCGCGGACGGACGGGTGAGTTGGGTGGCGCGGGACGCGATTCTCGATGGGGTTTAGGAGCGCGAAGGAGGCGAAAGGAGAGGAAAGGCAAAGGCGGGAGAGGTACGTATCCGTGTTTCCACACTGGTGGTACATCCGATGCAAGATACGGCGCGTCACGACCTGCGCTCGCCGCGCCATATACCCGATCCACCGTGTAAAGTGTCCCGTGGCGTATCGACCGGCACGGTTTCCTACGTTATAGGCCCGAGAACGGTGAATAGTTTACACGATGGTGCCTTACCGGTGGTCGTATTGTTCGGCTGCCATGGCCCGCATATGCAGCCTGTTGCATATCAATGCGCGAACCTCGAGCGAGCCCCCCACCACCCTCGTCGAGCGACGTGCCCGTGGCCACGTTCTCTTTTTCTTCCCCTGCCTCTCTCCTACTTCGCCTTCGTTTCGATCTCTTCTTTCGCCAAGTCGATCTCGCGTTTCGTCCACTCTCTTTCTCTCTTTCTTTTGGCGCGCGCGCGCGCGCGCGCGATCGAGACAGAGAAACAAGAAAGAAGGCTGGCCCATCGAGCCATGAGACACGCTATCGGAGGTGGAGAGGTATTTCGAACCCGATGAACGCACCGACTCGCGAATCTTGTCTTGCGAAAAGATCTGCGGAAAAGGCGCGACGCGAGAGCGATCTCTCGGGATCGTTCGAGGTTCGACTCCGAGGCTGATTTGCCCTATCGATCCGATCGATCCGTGGCGATTTCGGTGCGCGGCTTCCGATCGGCCACGCGTCCGAACCGAGAACCTGTTCGCACGGAAGATCGAGGTCTGGCACTCGAGGCCCACAATATTTGACACACGGCAGCCAATCAGATTATCAGATTAAAGTCGGACGGGCCGACGCTCGGGCCGATCGGGTCGAGACACAGGTGCAGAGATTCGTCCCGCAACAGTGGATCTCGCTTCCTTCCTTTTTCACGTTCTTTCGCGTTGTCATTGTTGTCCGTGCTTGTGCGAAAAAAACGCGGTGGAGCTCGTAGACCGGAGCGCCGGTGATTTTCGTTTCATTGTCGAACGCTTGGCGCACGCATTTGCATAATTATTGCACGGTGACGGTTCAAACACTAAACCGGCAAAATCATTAATTTCGTATTTATTACGGAACATCGAGTCGCGTTATCAGATCGCCGAGAGGCAGAGATGCAGCGTCGGGAGACGTTACTGCCGCTTTACGAGCACCTGTTTTGATAAGGGCGAACGGCTGTTTTTCGAGGTACGAGAAAACAGTGCGAGATTGTCGTGGAAGCCGTTAAAAGCATCGTGAACGAACGCCCTTATTGGGCAGGGTTCGGACGCGGACAACCGTAAAACCTGGCGACAAAGTGAGAAACGCGCTTCATTTTACAGCCGAGTTTATGGCGACCGGCAGAGAGTCATCGGCGCCGCGATCGCGACGACTGGCCTTATCTTATCCGCGAAACGAGCGGTCGTTCCCAGCTCGTCCCTCGGCTCCTCGATTGTTTTTGCCACAAGGGTGCTGCACGTCAGTGACAGAAGTTTGCTTTTGTGGCTACACTTGGGAAAAAGAAAAGATGTGGCGATTCCATTTGAAACAACACATCGCGGACACGATGCGACGAAGTCTGGCTGGGGGACGGAGTTACGTAATCCCACCTGGTAAAATACCCCTTGCACGCCGGTGAAGTTTCATTTAATCCGTTGATGGAAAGTACTGTTAACGAGATCGAATTACGCGAGGAGATTTCTCCGGCGGCGTAATCTCCTCTGCCTTTCGATCCGGCGATTCGTGGTTTTCGTACCCTGGAATTCTTCGTCGAGGAGAATGTGCATCGAGCGGCGGTCGACCGAGCAGAGCGAGGAAAGGAGAGAAAGAGAGAGAAAGAGAATGAGACTCGGGTTGGCGCGGCACGACGAAGCAGGATGCGAGAAAGACCGTGGTAGAGGAAGAATAGGGAAGGAGAAGAGGAAAGAGAAAGAAGCAAGAGGAGAAGGTGGACCATCGTCGTCGTCGTCGTCGTCGTCGTCGTCGTCGTCGTCGTCGTCGTTGTCGAGGTCGCATAAATCGTCGCGAGTCGGATACCGAGCAGCCGAACGCAAGCCGCCATTGTCCAAGACTTTTTTTCTCCTCTCTCTCTCTCTCTCTCTTTCTCTCTTTCCCTTTCTTTCTTTCTTCCCTCAGAGCTGCTGTTACGGAGCTGCACTCTTTGCATACGCTTTAAATATCAGCGCTCTGTTCGCTTTGAGGACTCCCAGCACCACGTCTTTCCCTCTTTTGTGCTTGTTTTCGATGGTACCGGGCAACCCGAAAACGTGTCTTGCCTCGTCCTTTTGCTCCTTTTCCCTCGCTGAAACGCATCGGTTTCCTGCGATCAAACGCTATGAGCTGTACATTCAGGCTGTCCGCGTCCGTGCATCCACGCCTCTTTTCGTCTTTTTCGAAGTAGATCGTTTCGTGGATTCGTACCGATTAGGGCTCTCGCTATTGCTCGGGTCCCCGATCCTGGATACCCATTCGATCCAGCTACTTTAGATTATTTCAGACTTTGGAGCCATAAAAATGCACGAAATACGTGCAATATGCAAAATATATGAAACAATAAACGTACTCGGTATAGCACCTACTAGATAAAATAATTTTTTGCAATTATCTTGATAAAACTGTTACAAATATGTATAATATATCTTTGAATGATATAGAATCTTCTCACAAATAAATTAATTCACTTTAAATAAGTTCACTTCACGCCCATTTTTTCTTTAGAAAAGTACTCGTTTTCTTTAGAAATATAGGAAAGTATCTTTTATCTGGCTCGTGCCTCTAACCCCTTTGGTCTGTACTGGAAGTACCTTATAATCAATAACGAAATAATCGATTTACCCCTAGAGTTTAAGAAAAATAACAAACATATCGAAAGATATGTCATTCTGTACTAAACTTTTAGATTTCTGCTAAGGTTAAGTCAATTCAAACAAAAAGTTAATCGTGAACGTACAAACGTACAAGAGAGGCTTTTCGAAGAAAATTCAAATCCCGATGCTCGATTATTCAGATTCAAGTTTCGAATTGAGCTGTGCTCGGGTGCCCCGAGCTCCAATAGCGATCGATCTCGAGTTCTGTAATTGATGGCGAACAATGGTGATTGTTACGATAGTGGCAAGACTCGAAACACGTAGCTTTCGAGCCGTGCGAACCGTTATTCTCGGTTCCGAGATAGTCGCCGGGTCAAATAAAATTCCGTACAGGGTCGACGTCGCCTGAGCGTCTTCACCTCGGAAAAGCGATATATCGAGTCGTTGGAAACGGACGGGTCGAGGCTGCGCCTCTAATCTTATCCGGCCGGCGCATCGTTAGTCTTTAACGAATTTAACGACGACACTATATAAAAATCAACAGGCAGTGACGTCGTTTAAAGGTGTCCATAAAGATACAATTTGAGGACTGATACGGCCGTTAAACGAGCGCCAGCTCGAAACTTTCGTGAAGGACGGGGCCCGCGTTCCATCGAGCCAACCTCCGAGTCGACTAAAAGGACAG